ATGTCACCTTTGGTTCTTTTAGCAATCACATTGAACCAATGTCCTATGGTTCTACAACTATCCACCAATTTCAGCAGCTTTCCTCTGACTAATCTATGCAGACCTGGTCTGCTTTTAGTATCTCGATAAAATTTCCTATTACAAGAAGAATAATGTTTTCATGTAAAACAAAGTTCATTTCTGTAAAATAGTTTTGAGGTAAATGAAGCATAACTTGGCTTGACAAGTCTGAACAAAAGATTAATTATTTTTCTTTTTTAAAAAAGTATAAGTATCGAAATGGTCATGGAGAATGCATTAAAGTTATAGAACACAGAAACTAGGAGCAGAAGTAAGCCTTTTGGCCTTTCAAGCCTGCTGAGCCATTCAATATGATCATGGCAGATCCTCTACCGTGATGTAACATTCATACTTTCCCTCCGTAACCTTAGATGCCTTTAATATCTAAAAACGTATCATCTCTTTCTTGAGTAAACTTAGCAACCTGACTTCCACAGCCTTCCATGGGAGAGAATTCCACAGGTTAATCACTCTCTGAGTATTCCTCATCTTAGGCGTAAATGGCCTATCTCATATCTTGAGACTGTGACACCAGGTTTTAGACACCTCTCCCAGGTACAATATCCTCCCTACATCTAGTCCGTCGAAGCATGTTAGAATTTTATACAGTTCAACCAGGTCCTCTCTCTTTCTTCTAAACACTAATGAATACAGAGACAGATGAACCAAGGACAGGACAGTCCTGCCTCCCCAGTATCAGCCTAATGAATCTATGCTGCACTCCCTCTATGGCAAGTATTTCATCTCAGGTAGAGAGACCAAAACTGTATGCTATATTCCCTACACCAAGGCCCTATGTATTTGCAGTTAGACATTCTTACTTCTAAACTCAAATGCTTTTGCAATAAAGGCCAACATACCATTTGTCTTGCTAATTGCATGCTGCAGCTACCCGGTTATTTTCATTAACATGTGTACGAGGATCCCCAGATCTCTTTCTACGTCCATACTTCCCAATATATCATCATGTAAATAATACGCTGCCTTTCTGTTTTTGATACTGAAGTGTATAACTTCATATCTGTCCATGTTATACCGTATCTGCCATGTGCCACACACAACTTGTCACGTTCACTGTGAAGCCTCCTTGCATCCTCCGCACAACTCAAATTCCCAGCATTTTTATATCATCAGCAAACTTGGAAATGCCTAGGTAACATTATATACAATATCAGAAAGAAGAAATTGTATTACATCCTACACACCAAAATTACATATTTTGAATCTTTGTTTAATAAAATGTCTGAACCCCATAAACCTTATGTCTAAATAAAGGTATTTCCCTACCCAAATCCCATTTTCTGAATTTGGTGATACAGTTCCAGAGGAATTTGGACCTCAGACAAATATCCATTCCTCACTCACAATCCTAGAGCGTATTGGTGGCCTGCTTGACTGGGAGATCTGCATAGCAGAAAACAATCCTGTTCTCACTTAATATATTTGAATGAAGCCACTACCTTTTCTATGTTTTGTTAAGAATATCTGTGTCAACTCCTCCCATACATTAACCTCTACTGGCGCAAAAGTGTACTTGTCAATGTCATAAATTCCATCTGATACATTTACTCATTAAACATCTGTAATATGTACCATAGAGTCATAGAGTCACAGAGATGTACAGCACGGAAACAGACCCTTCGGTCCAATTTGTCCATGCCTCCCAGATATCCTAAATAAATCTGGTCCCCATTTGCCAGCATTTGGCCCATATCCTTCTAAACCCTTCCTATTCATATATCCATCCCGATGCCTTTATAATGTTGTAATTGTACCAGCCTCCAACAGCTCTTCTGGCAGCTTATTCCACACACACACCACCCTTTCTGTGAAAAGATGCCCCTTAGGTCCCTTTTAAATCTTTCTCCTCTCACCTTAAACCTATGCCTCTGGTTTTGGACTCCCCAGCCTCCGGGAAAATACCTTGTCTATTTACCCTATCTATGCCCCTCATGATTTTATAAACCTCAATAAGGTCACCCCTCAGCCTCCGACATCCCAGGGAAAATAGCCCCCGCCTGTTCATCCTCTCCCCATAGCTCAAACCCTCCAACCCTGGCAATATCCTTGTAAATCTTTACCATGTGTAGAAATTGAGCATTCTCCTTGGTGAGATGTTAAAAATAAAGCAATGAGAATCAAAACTAAAACAAGGAAGTAATTGAGAGAATAACAAAGTGTAGATCAACATTTCTATTTTACAACAAATAGATAGTTGTTCATTTACATGCAAGGTTCTCCATAAACACTGATATCAAAGATCAGTACTTCTGCACAACATTCCTCCCTCCTCACAAGCTGTACAAATCATTCTCTCCAGGACACCCTGGTGCAGGTCTTACACCAAACAATCCCTCCCTTAATCCCACAGCATCTTCCCAAATACAGCAGACAAACTATGCCCTATGATTCTTACAGCTGAAACAGGAATTTATTTGAACTTTTTCAATTTATTATACTTTGTTCACTATTCAGTGAACATAGTTTCTGAAGTTTCTGAAGAAGTTATATTGAACTCAAAGTGTTAACTCTCTTTCTCTCTGCGCTTAATGCTGCCAGACCTGCTGAGTTTCTCCAGCGTTTTCTGACTTCATTTGAGATAAACTTAAACCAGGTAAAGTGAGATAAATAATAAAACAAATAAAATATGAAATTAGTAGTGGAAAATAAAACAACTGAAGTAAAGGTTAAAAAAAACATAAAATTTTACTTTTTTATAAGTCTCTGAAAGTAATTCCTGGATGTGGGAATGAATTTCAACAATGCGGATGGTTGGAGAATTGTTGGAACTGTGTAAACTGCAATTATGTATCCGTACCATGTGGAATCCCAAATGCTGCTGACTTCCTGGGAATTGCCTGGGAAATTGAATTTTCTGATGGGCAATTTCCCTACTCCCTATCCTCTGAAAGAGTCCATTAACATTGGAGAATTTGGAGAGTTCTGACTCACTAAAGCCTAATAGTTACCCATGAAATGTTAGAGGATTATGTATCTACTCTAACTCCTAGGCAACTATTAAATCGAAACCCTTCCAACTACACCTCCCCACCATCCATCCCCTGACCCCACCCCACGTTCCACACACATCTACCCCAACAAGCATCTCACGTCTAGATCCCTACCCCCACCTGATCCAATTTAGATCTCCCACTGAACACCTCTGGACGCTGGCTATACTATCGAACATTTTATACCATAGAACACTGAGTGCGAGAGAAAGAGACATGGTTTCTGTAATGATTGGAACCAGGTGGATCTCATTGATAAGATCCTTGATTGGAGTTGTTAACCTGGGGCAATCGGGGAGCCCTGGCTGACCAACATAAACAGGGAGTAAGAAAATAATATACATAAATAGGAGATTTAGAATCTCCTCAATTTGGGGGACTGGGTCCAAGCTGGCTAGCCACGGCCAGTTACTGAGCACAAGTAAATAAAGCGCGACAGGATACTGGCCTCTGTGCAGTTATTTCAGTTTTCACACTGATTCTCTCTGCTGCTAGACTTGTGGATACCTGGAAAGGTTCATAACAGTAGGTCCCAATCCAGGAATCTCCAGTGCAGAAGCTACCTGAGGTTAAGTGGGTAATTTTTAATCACTTCAGGGTGTGCTGCACAGTCGGAGGAGTGATGTTCATGATTGTGCAATGCTCACCACCATTCTTTACCCACAGACACAGACACAGTCTGTGTTCATGTACCATGAGATCTGGATAACATCCAGGCTTGGGCTGAAAAATGGCAGATAACATTCCTACTACACAAGCACCAAAGACAAAGAATCCAACCACCGCCACTTGACATTGAATGGCACAGCTGAATCGATATCCTGGATTTACTATTAACCAGAAACTGAACATGCCATATAAATAGTCAACACAGTGTAGAGCTGGAGGAACACAGCAGGTCTGGCAGCATCAGAAGAGCAGGAAAGTCAACGTTTCGGGTTTTCACCTGACCTGCTGCGTTCCTCCAGCTCCACACTGTGTTGACTCTGACTCCAGCATCTGCAGTTGTCCCTATCTCCGAATGCCATATAAATAGTGTGCCTACTACAGCAGGTCACAGGCAGGGAATTCTGTGGCAAGCGACTCACCTCCTCACTTCCCAAAGCCTTTCCACCATTTACAAAGGACAAGCCAGGAGATGGAATTTTCTCGACTTGCCTGAGGGGATGCAGCTCCAACCACACTCAAGCAGATCAATATTATTCAGGAAAATACAGCCCACTTGATTGGTACCACATTGACCATCTTCAATATTCACTCCATCCACCACCAAGGCACAGTGACCAGCTGTATGTACTAGTTAAAAGACACACTGCAACAACTCACCAAGGCTCTTTGCACAGCCTCTTCTAAATCTTTCACCCAGAAGGACAAGGGTAGCAGATGCCTGGAAACACAACCGAGTGCAGACTTCCTTCCATGCCACACACCATCCTGACTTGGATATTGCCATACCCTCACTGTCGCTGGGTCAAAATCCTGGAACTCCCTCCCCAACTGCACTGAGGGTGTCTCTACAACAAATACACTACAATAATTCAGGAAGGCAACTCACTATCACCTTTTCCAGCGAAATTAGGATGGACAAGCAATGCTGGCCTATCCATCATTGGCTGTAAAGAACTTGAGGGGTCAGGGGTCAGGAGTCACGGAAAGCATTGTCTACATACAATTCTTTTTTATTTAAAGTGCATTAATAGTTAATTGCAGCAATGCTGAGCTCCATTTAGTCACTTGATTTTACCCATATTTATCATGCAAAAAGCCATATTTGGTAATTACAAAGTGGGATCACTTTAGTTGAATTATAATCTATATTAGACGATGGTTGTAGCAATGGCAGTGGATTCGATGTTACTTCATGTGCCTTGTGCCTATAACCACAACTCTAACATTTGAGGTTCCACTCAAAAGTGACATGGGTCTTACCAATCCTTCACTGGGTTTGATGTTTGTCAGCTGAACCACCTCCAAGTGAGCAGATTGTGAAACCAGCGGATCAGAAGATAGAGAGATAATGTGGTCACAAACACCCGAGAGTGTTTTACACTGTGACAGAAAGAGAAAACAAAAGAGTAAGGATACATTTCCAGAAAATAGCAGGACTGATAAACAAAAGCAATTTAATGATCTGTCAAATGAGAATGCCTTAACTTTAAATCAAGAGAATAGAGTTCTGAAAACCAGTATCACCAATGTAACTCCTGAATTAAGTGTACAATTTACTTTATAAAATACTCTGTCAAACCTCACAATGATGATCGGTGTAGCATTTTAATCAAAATAAATACTTAATAGCTTAAAGTGAAAAACTGTTTGACTCTGAATAACCAGGAAGGCAAATCTGTCAGTACAGGAGAGGTGGAGTGAAAACTGAGATATCCTAAGATCCATCCAGGATCACAGGTATCTCCATGATGTTCAACGTTCCACAGACAGCTGTTCTCGCCACGTCCTGAGATCCACACTCAGTGCCATGCATCATCATATGCACACTCTCGACCTCTCTCTCCAACAGCACCACTTCATGCTGGCTCCGAGCTGCACTGCTCCCCAGTTCCACTTCATACTCCAACTCATTCGACGTGCTAACAAGAAACTTTCCCTTAACCTTTCAGATATCAAAGAGCACAAGACACAATAACTCAGACATACCCCTTGCCCTCCTGAACCTTCCTCCCCTCCCTTTCCCTCTGACTCCATCTCCTATCCCAACTCCACCTCCTGTCGTGTATTTACTATCCCTTCTGACTTTCCACTCTACGATGTTCAATGTTCTGTACTCAGCAAAGGTCTTGGTTTTATCCCTCTGAGTCACCACCTTCATGAATTTTAGGCACGATATAATGTTGAATTCTTTGCCTCTGTGCTCATTTCTTTGGGTAATAGTCCTCTCCCCATCCCACAGACCCCTTGGCCCACCTCGAACGTTGTCCTTCCAGGTGGAAACCTGCCTCTGGCCTTTTATCTGCACTCAACATTTTCATCGAAAACCATTGACGTAATATTGGTCGCCCCAATTTCTCTGTTCCCCCAGCCTACTCATTCCAACCTATCACCCCGTGAACTGACTGCACTCTGTGCTCTCAAATCCAACCCTGACTTTGTAATTAAGCCTGCCAACAAGGATGGTGTTGCTATTTGGTGGGCTGGCCTCTACACTCTACATTGCAGAGGCTGAGCACCAGCTCTCAGATACCCCTTCCTATCTCTCCTGGAACATGACCTTACCATGGAACATCAGGCCTTTGTGTCCACTATGGTTAGTAACCTCATCGCATCTGGTGATCTCCCAACTGCCTCCAAGCTCATAGTCTCCCAAGCCCACACAGCTCCCTTCTACCTCCTTCCCAAAATCCACAAACAGAACTGGCCTGCAGACCCATTATTTCTGCCTGCTCCTGCTCCACAGACCTCAACTCTTCCTATCTCACCTTGTCCAGTCCCTTCCCACTTACATCTGCGTTTCCTCTGATGCTTTACACCAGTTCTAGAATTTCCAGTTTGCAGGTTCCAGATGTCTCCTCTTTACCATGGACGTGCAATCCCTGTACACATCCATCCCCCTTCAGGATGGTCTCAGGGTTCTCCACTTCTTCCTGGAAAAAAAGCCTGAACCGTCCCCATCCACCATCATCCTCCAGCATCCGGCCAAAATCGTCGTTACCCTGAACAACATCTCACTTTCTTCAAGTCAAAGGAGTGGCTATGGGTACCGGCATGGGCTCCAGTTATGCCTGTCTCTTTGTGGGGTACATGGAACATTCCTTGTTCCAGTCCTATTCCGTCCACCACCCACAACTCTTTCTCCAGTATATCAATGATATCATCAGTGCTGCTTCCCTCTCTTGTCTGGAATTGGAAAAGTTTATCAACTTTGCTTCCAATTTCCACCCCACTCTCACCTTCACCTGGTCCATCTCTGACTCCTCCCTTTCCCTTCCTCAACATCTGTTTCCATTTCTGGGAATAGGCTGGTTACTGATATCCACTTTACACCCACCGATTCCTACACAGTTACTGCACATCTTCACACCCTGCTTCCTGTAAAGACCCTATTCAATTCTCCCAGTTCCTCCATCTCCATCACATCAGTTCTGATTATGACAACTTTGACAAGACAGCCTCTAACATGTCCACCTTCTTCCTGAGCTGAGGACTCCCCCGCACCCTTGTGGACAGGGCCCTCAGCTGGGTCCGACCCATCTCTTCCACTTCAGTGCTCACCCCCCTCTCTTCCCTCCCACAACAGCGGTAGGGTCCCCCTTATCCTTACCTGTCATCCCCGCAGCATCCACATCTATTTCTGCCACCTCCAGCAGGATGCCACCAGCGGACATATATTCCCCTCCACTCTCTTATCAGCCTTCCACAAGGACCATTCCCTCTGGTTCACTCCATCTTCACTCTCTACACCTCCCCTGCAACCGCAGAAGGTGTAACACCTGCCCATTTACCTCCTTCCTCCTTGGTAGCCAAGGGCCCAAACATACCTTCCAGGTGAAGCAAAGCTTTACCTGCACTTCATTCAATCTAGTGTAATGCATTCGCTGCTCACATTGTTGTCATCTCTGCATTGTGGAAACAAAGCGTAGATTGGGTGACCACTTCGCAGAACACTTGCATTCTGTCCATTAAAGAAAAGCCCTGAGCTTCCAGTTGCCTGCCACTTGTTCCCTGTCTCTGTCTCAGGCTTGCTGCAGTGCTCCAAGGAAAATCAGCGCAAGCTGGAAGGACAGCACCTCTTTTTCCCCCTGGGAACTCTACAGCCTTCTGGACTCAGTTTCAAGTTCAACAATTTTCAGGCTTGAGGCACCTTCTCCCATGTCCTTTCCCCAAGCCCCACACACCAGGCCTTGTTATCACATAGTCTGCTATTACACACAATCCATTTTAGTCCCCATCAGCAGCTATTCATTATCCTAGGCTGACCATTATCCACTCATTTTTCTGTCCAACTATTCTTCTTTCTCCTTGTGCTCTATCATCACCTATCATTTACTCCTTACCCCCTCTCCCCACCCTACCTTCTGCAGAAGAAACAACTTTTCCCTAGCTACCATCAGTTCTGGAGAAGAGTCCCTGGACCTGAAACATTAACTGATTTTCCTCCACAGATGCTGGCAGATCTGCTGAGTTTTTCCAGCAATTTCTGTTTTTATTACTCCAAAATCCATATGGGCAGAAGAAAAAATTTAAATAGTGCTTCAGCTACTTGCAGAGTGACTACCCTTGCAGATTAAAGATAACTGATCCCTTTGATGATAGATTACTCTAGTCTAATGAAGGTTCAGGAGCGTATAATTTCTTCAACAGAGTTCATGACAGTTGTCCATGTTAAGGACTCTGTGTGTCTTGGACAAAATTTACAGCAGAAGCCAAGATCTTGGCCAGGTTCCCTTCATGTGAAGGTAGACGGTGTTAAGAGAACAGTCTACCTATGGTCTCCATTGAAACTCAAAGGGAACTGTAAACAGAATAAAATCTTAGGGTAACCAGATTCCATCCCAATTTCTTGGATCCCTGCCAGCCTTGGACGAAAACCATTCCACCTATTGTCTACAAGTCTGGCAGATACGGCAAATTTCTTTTCATGAATATAAAAATATGTAGGAATCTACTTTTGTCAACATGTACATGACAGTGTTAATACATTTTTCAGAAATTAATTGAACTTTGAAGTTTCAGTAACAATATCACAACGCAACATAGAATATGTGTAGAAACTTCTGAAAACACTGATTTAGTACAAATACATATTTTGCCAGGATAAAATAGAAAGAGAAACACATTTTGTAGCTTCTTTCATGACACTAGAACCAGAACTTTAAGAACCTTCGCAGTTAACGGTGGACTTTTAAAATGTAGTCACAAGCATAATATAGAGGTTTGATCACAGAAGTGTTTCCTGCAATCCTTACTTAAAACCAATGTTGGAAAGCATGGTGCTTTTATTATCACTTATGGATTTTTCTATAGAGGTTATCAGTGTATGGAGGGATGTATGAATGATGTGCACTTCACTGGCATGGCACAGTGCTTACTGAATAAATCACAGGCAGACTTAGTTCCTTTGAATAGCTTTTTTAAGCAAATGCAGAACATAAAAGCTTGGCCTTTCTTCCACCCTAACTACAGTTGTTGAATTTCCATGCCAGAAAGTGAAGCCTGTTTGTATAATGCTTCTTACATGAAAAGAAAAAACAAGGCTTGCTTCATAGGGTAAGAAAGTAAATTAAAAGAATTTGGAGTGAAGTAAATCAAAGGCACCGACAGATTGTTTTTCTGAGGAACATTTCGGAAGCCACTTATTTGAACAACCTGCACTGCCTTTCTGAGTTCAAACACTGGATTTTCCAGTGGCAGGCTAAGTGGGTTGGGTGATGGGTGGTGTGGGTGGTGAGAGCTGCAGGGAAAGTAACAGAGAACTGTGCTGGGTAGATCCCAGACCTTACCACCAGGCACCTTTAAGGGTAGACTGAGAGGTAGGTTAACCACCCACTCCATGGAGGTAGGGGAGCCAGGTCGCACTGTTAAGGCCTTAAATCAGGACAATTTTGTGGCCTTGCCATCATTTTGCCAGGAGACCAAACCCCCCCCAACCCTGTGGCATAGCGAGGTCTCCAGCTCAATGAAGGCTTGCCATGAGAACTGGAGTCTCTATGTAACTCACTGTGTAGAACTGTTCTGAGGAAGGGTCACCAGACCCGAAACATTAACTCTGATTTTTTTCTTCACGGATGCTGCCAGACCTGCTGAGCTTCTCCAGCAACTTCTGTTTTTGTCAGTATGTAGACTAAAGGGTATTATATTTTCACTCTGGGTATTGCTACTGAGCATGTGCAAAACAAGCCACACCATAGTTATGTCAGAACAAATGGAATTGGACCCTGGGTCTGTAATCTCCAAGTCAGATGTCCTCTCTTACCATCCTCTGAATGTTATTATATTCAATAAAGCCTGTTGCTGTTCTTTCACAACAGCGTAGATTTCACATTACTATGAGGTGGCATCAGGAACTGGACTGCAGCCATGTTGTAACAGCCTGA